TTGACAAGTCCCATGTGTCTGTAATTTCACCAGCACCCTTACCCTTCTTTAGAATTAATGCCGCACATTACCGCTTGGCGACAGAAATAGGTAAGGTGGCAGTACTTCCCTGGACGAACTCTTTCACAACGAGCTCTACTGCTACTATATGTCCATACAGTTCCGTCTGTAATTAGTTTTTTTTTTTCAGTATTCATGTATTAGCGAACAAGCAAGTATTATAATAAAATTTACATTACATGTAAAGTGTAAGTGTAAAGGCGTAGCTAACACTTAGAAATCGATAGATAGATAGATATCTTATTTGTTTTAGCCAATTTTAACCTTAAAAAGGCTTGATAGGCCAATTACTGTTATCCATTAAAATAATTGTTGATAGTGGATGTATTTGTTCATAAAAAGTACCTACTGAGAATGTAAACAAAAACATAAAAAACGAACAAAATTAAATATTATTGCCCGTGTTAAAAGAATCTCATATTGTATTGTTTACGAGAAAAAAGTGAAACAAAGAACACGATTCAATAAATTTAATGGAAATCGTTGTGTCAGAATGGGAAAAAATTAAATAGTTTTTTTTTTAATAACAATATACATTAAAAGTATTAGTCAATCCAAAAATAAAATGGCAGTTTTTATTGTTAACAGTTTTCACACATACGTTTTATTACGTTTTGAATTTTAATTATTTGTTACCTGTAAATGCTAATTTATTTTTATTTTTATTTGATTCTGCCTATTTTTGTAAAACAATGTTCCGTCGTGTTGATAAAGCCCTTGGGTATTGTTTACAAAAAATCTTTGAGCAGTGGTTGTATTCCAGATATGTGGAAGTTGACGAAGATCGTGCCCGTACATAAAGGAGGAGATGAAAAATATATTTCTAATTATAGACCTATATGTATTCTTAATTGCTTTGTTAAGATTTTTGAAAACCTGGTATTTGATCACATTTGAAGACAGTTATCAGTCCCCAAGAGCATGGATTTGTAAAATCTCGATCTACCGCTACAAATTTTTTAAGTTATATGCATTACCTACTTGAGTTGTTCATTCGATCAATCTGGACAGGTAGATTCAATTTACACTGATTTTGCTAAAGCATTCGATCGTGTTGATCATGCTATACTTTGTATTAAAACTGAGCGCTTGGGAATTCATGGTTCGCTTCTGAGGTGGCTTCATTCATATCTGCAAAATCGCACTCAACTTGTAGCAGTTTATGGTTTGGAGTCAGCTCCTTTTCAGCAGGGATCCAACCTCGGTCCCTTACTCTTTCTGATGTTTATAAATGACTTTCTGAGCCAGTTCAAGTGTGAGTGCCTAGCCTCTGCAGATGACCTACACATTTTTCGCGGAATAAATTTTACTGATGATTGCGTCGCACTGCAATCTGATAATGATACTTTGACTAGTTGGTGTGTGGAAAACAATATGTTCCTTAACGTAGACAAATGCCAGTTTATTACATTTACTAAAAAGAAGAATTACATCCCGTCAGCGCACATGCTGCTGGAACGTATGAATGTAGTACGTGATCTAGGCGTTTGGTTTGACTCGAAGCTTTCCTTTAGAGTACACTTCGATTCAAGGATTTTAAAAGCAAGGCGGACTATGGGTTTCCTATATAGAGTTACAAAACTTTTCAAGCAAACACGAAGTATGATTATTCTGTATGTGGGTCTTGTGAGAAGTACACTAGAGTACTGCAGCATAATATGGTCACCTATTTATAACAATCATATGAACAGGATAGAGACAATACAGAAACGTTTTGTTCGTAGTCTTGCTTCGAAATTGGGATTAAGAAAAAAATAGTAACATATACAGATAGGCTTAACCAATTCAAACTAGATTCGCTTTGTGTGATACGGCAAGTACCTGACCTCCTGATGTTGCACAAAATAGTAAATTCCAAATTAGATACTGATATCATAAGCCATGTGTTGAAGATCACTAATAGATCTAATCGTAGGCAACATTTATCTCTGGTGCCTTCTGCTAAAAATAATGTGTCACATAACAGCCCTCTCATACGTTTATGGAGGCAGTATAATGCTTTATGTAAAGATCGTGATATATTCCACCAGAGCACCAACACATTTGTAAAAATTATAAAAAGCCCTGATTGTAAGAAGGCACGTGAATACATCACAGAGTGAAGTAATTTTATTTAAAGTATATACACATTTCTATTGACTTAGTTAGCCATATTCATTAAGTTGCAAAATGTTATTTGCATGACGTGTGCGGTTGTTATTGAGCTACTTTGTTTGTTTCTGGTTAGTGTCATAGTTTTACTTGTATTATATAATTTATATGTTGTAACTGTGCCAAAATAAATAAAATAAAATAAAAGCTAATAGCTCAATAGCCAATGCTCATTAAATTTAAAAAAACATACATGTATATCGCTTGCTAGGGAGCTTTTTATTTCACCTTGCTGAAACCCGACTAACTAAAAAAAGGCTGAGAACTACATGAGCTTTAGTATAGCCTCAGCTATGCAAAGAGGAAACTTTGTCAGCCTTCCAGATACGATGTCACAAAGCGCGGCGCTCGTTAAAATTTTGTTTCCGGTTATATCATTTAGAAAATCTCATTTTTTATTTTCTTCTATGTTGTAATATATTTAGTATAGATACTATTTATTTTAATAAGTAACACTACGCTAATACAATGGCATGTTTATATTGTTGGGTAATTGTCCGAAAAATTTCGAATAGTGGATGAAAAAAATAATAATATAAGTACGTAGTTAGCACGTAGAGTGAAGTACAAAAATTTTAAAATGTTTTGGTTCATATATGTGTTGTTAACGTAAAATAGTGAAAAATCGATCGAAAAGGCTTATTAAAATATATAAATGGCTTTTACACCGTTCTTCCCCGAAGAATCGAATGAGATCGCCGTTCCTTTCTCGTAGTTTCTGTGCAATTTTCTTTTCACCTCACTAGCACGGAAAGGCTTTTTTTCTCATTAGAAAACTGCGTGCAAAGGTATTTTTCCTCGCTAGCGTGGAAAAGATTTTTGAAATTCGAACTGACGATGGACTGTGGTGTACCTAATTTTTTCTTTCGATGAAAAATAAAACTTAATGGCATGTTCACCTACGCGATTGGTCGTACATTATCTAAGTTTAACATAAATCCGTTGGTATATATATTCTTAGTATTGTTGACAGTAACCTCGCTATAGTGAGGTGAAAAGCTGTGTGTTGCGCTCGGCTGCAAAGTTGTTTTGCATTGAAACCCTCTACGCTCAAGATTCTATTTTTGAACATTTTGGTTCAATCTTAGGGTACTTCGCTTGCTCAGGTTTCAATACAAGCACTCGCGTCAAACAACAACTTTGCAGCCTTGCATAACAAAAAAATATGTTTTACTTAGAAACTGCAATGAGACGATTAAATGTTTGCTGATATTTTTGAGTGTAAATGAATAGGTTTTCAATTTAGGAACAGAATAGGAATCTTATTTAAGTCATGCTTTTCAAATTTAAATTTTACCGAGTTCTTTAAATCAAATTTTGTTTATGCTCAAACTTCGCAAAAGCTTCAATACTAAACAACCAAAAAATCTCCACGTGATCCTTAAACATGTGACAGGGAAAGGTGCAGAGAGGCCTGACCTTCCCCATGTTTCACAGCGCATCTCTACGCGCCGCCGTAATCAATACCACAATATCTAGTTGAAACTCGTAAACTCCTTACTTTTGTAATCTCTTTTGGTCTAACACATGGAAAAACATAAGGTTCCTGGTTTAAATTTTCAAAAGAAAAATATAATGCTTTCTTTCTATTGGGTATTTTGTGTTCGAATATTCAAATTTGTGTTAAAAATTCATATCCTGTCAAGTTCGAATGCGTAGGTGTTGCTGAATTCGCTCTTAGTGATTTATTATTAAAGTGTTGAAACAAAATACAAGGGGTTGTAATTAAAGGTATCTTGCACAATGTTATTGTTATTTACGCAACTGTAACAAGCAATCTATTTTTATACCAAATAAAAATGTAACTATAACAATAATATAGAGAAAAAATCACTTACAAAATAATACAGGAGACACTGAAATCAAAAGTTAGTTCCTATGAAAACTAAATCACATAAACACTGGCCATACGTAATGCGTTTTACGGAATTTTCAAATTCGGATTTCGAATCCCGAGTATGGTGAGCGAACATCCGCGGCGGTTGAGGTGCACTGACTGCCGACTTCGAAAGACGTTAGGGTTGGGACGCCTTCAAAATTTACTTATCGATTTAGTTTTTATTAATTATTTTTACCTGGAACACATATTTAAAAAGTTTCAAGTTGAATTAAAACATAATAGGTACGTAGTACCTACTTGTACTTACTATAAACGCATTTAGTACGTGCACTTTACCTTGTCTCTCGCTGATTGTTCTAAAGTCGTGTCAAACACACGGAAACATATTTTTAGTTCATAAATAAAATAGATAAATTGAAATTGTGGTATGATTGCCGGAAGTTGTCGCTGATTTGAAAGCGTCTCGCGTATATTTAAAGGTTCTCGTCTTAAAATTTATTTAACTTTTTCTTTGATATAACAGTACTTTCATCCATGGCGTTATCATTACTACTGTAATTTTCTATGTCTCTTCGTAACAATATAATAAAAATAGTTTTTATATGTATATACAATATCCTTGGAAGTTATGCTGATGTATGATGTGGCGATGAGTTTTGTTTGTTTTATAGAGCATCCTAGAAGAAATAAGATCTAATATAAAAGTATTTCGAATATATAACGAAGTTTATTAGTTAACACTACTTAAATTTAATAAAATGTTACATACATTATTGTTTAAATTAAGCACATAAATAATATTTTTTTATTACGTATTTTGAACAGCAATGCAAAAAAATAAATCGCACATGAAACCAAAACATACAGTCCTAACTCAAAATAATGGAATTGAAACTTATTGATCTTATTGCGAATAATATGATTATATTTATTTATACGTAATGGTGAGTGATCCATCTATGAATTAGAATATATATTTATTGGTTTCATTCAAAATTTTTTGAAATTTCAAGTCGTGTTTCTCAATTCCACAATTTTCTGTTACCACAGTAGTGTTTCTTATGCGAAATATCAACAAAACTTTAGTTTTAAGACAAGATATAGTCAATGAAATTTCAATAACGTGTGTCGAAAAAACAAATGACTACAGAACAAATTACACTACCATACCCATTACCTACTGCTTCTTCGTTAATTTCTCTGAAAAGTCATCAAAACCAAGATCTTATAGATTCATCATCAAACTGTTACTACCAACAAACACTTTGTTCTGCGATTGCGCTATCATTCTGGAAACAGCTTGAGCTGCTCGTATTTTACGCAGCTTTAGATAACCAGGATTCTTGCTTACAGCTTTTCCCAACATTTCTGCGGCTTCAGCTTCTCCTTCAGCTAGTACGATTTTCTGCTGTCTTTCTTGTTTAGCTCTCTCTAGCAGAAACGCAGCCCTTTGAGCTTCTTGTTGAGCAATCTGCTTAGCTTCAACCGCAGCTGTATACTCTTTACCAAAGCTTAATTCAGTCAACGATACGTCATCCAAAATAATATTAAAATCTGCAGCACGTTCGGATAACTCCCTTCTAATTAGTAACGAGATTTTATGCCTCTGTGTTATGAGTTGGGATGCATTGAATTTTGCAACAACAGACTTAAGAACTTCGTTGCAAATAGATGGCAGGACTTTCTCATCATAATCAATACCGAGTGTCCTGTACATAGTAACTAATTTCTCAGCATCGGGTCTACATAACACTCTTAGGGAAATATTCACCATTTGCAAGTCTTTTGAGCCAGTAGGTGACGAAATTTGACGAGGCCTTGAGCGAATATCGTAAATAATAGGATATTGAAACCAAGGAACATGTAAATGCAATCCTTCAACCATTACTTGTTCTTGTACACCACCAATTCTATTAAACATAATGGCTCTATGACCTCCTTCGACGGTAAATACACACTGTGAAACTCCATAGGCTGTAAATCCTGCCACCACTATTGCTTTTAGACCTTTTGGAATGCCCGGTGGTCCGGGCCTGATGATTGTGGTCGCCATATCGTTGAATTTACTACCAAAATGTCTTTGGTATTATTTTTTCCCAAATCACCAATTGTCTTTACAGTACTTTTCAATTTGCACACATGATCTCTCCCAATCACAAAAAACGTTCACGTTTTGGAAAAAACACATTATTCGGTTTTTATGACGTTGATATAGACGTAAATACTTTTATGAGAAACAAAATGCATGGTTATTTCAACTAACTGATACTATACTACAGCGAGACCTAACGACTACGCGCGACTGTAAAACCTTACGTGATAAATATGATTGATCTCACCTGCATATTAATTGAGCGTCAAGGCTTCAGATACATGGTTAACTGTTTCATGGTATTTTCCAGGTCGTCAAGGTAACCACCAATACTAAAGTTTTTTTATGATACAAAGGATGGCACGAACAAGTGGTGCACCTAGTGGTAACTCAAATCTATCAAAATTTCAAATCGCAAAGATCTGAGGTGCACTGCCATTGCGCCCGACACCTTGAGACATAAGTTGACAAGTCCCATGTGCTTGTAACTTCAACAGCACCCTTACCCTTCAAAACCGGAACGCAGTAATGCTCACATTACTGCTTAGCGGCAGAAATAGGTAAGGCAGCAGTACTTCCTTGGATAAACTCTTTCGCAAGGACCTTTAGTGGTACTAAAAAAAGTATTATAGTTTGACAGTTGTGTGGTTACCTTGACGTTTTTGATGGCCTAACGGTTGGCAGTGCGAGTGGATTCTGTTGTTCTGGTCAGAGATCAGATAATTAGTGTGGTGGTTGGGCAGGTTATTTGACACTTTGGTAAAATAAGATGATATAGTCTCCATTACGAACGATCTTTTGTTTTAAATCCCATTGCTAAATAGTTAGGAATAATGAACAGTGACTGTGAAATAACCAATACAGATAGGTTAGTAAAAAAAAATACTTAAATTTTTCGTCCTTTTTGCATACAAAGTCGAAAACTTAAAATAGGAAATGATCACCTCGACCTTGTATTTGAAGACGCTAAATGTTAGTGTAATATTAGTTAATTAGGCCAATTAATTAATGTTGCGTTGACAGGTCATACATGTGTTAAATGAGATAAGATAGTAGACATGCACCGTACTCATTAAGATGGCATGCCTATATTTAGTTCGAAATTGCATACATGGGGTAAATATGGGATAATAATACGTCTTTGTGCCAGGAAGCTGATATTCCATAATTGTTGACGACTTAAAGTAACTGTGGTGTAAAGTGAATCTTGTACCCTTGAATATGAAGGAACATTGTTATCAAATTAATTTTAAAATTCGAGATTCATGTTAGTAGATATTTATAGCAGTTGTGTTCTTTGTTTTGATTAAATTATTGCATTTATAACTGCCTCGCGGCCAAACGGTTACCATCTTGGTCTGCCAAGCACAGTTCCTGTGTTCGATTCCCGGGCCAGGAGAAATATTTGTATGGCCTACATTTATTTCTCTCATGTATGTAATTTGAGGTTGTCTATGTGTGTATCCATGGCACCCGCGACACAGGGTTTCCCTAGTGCGGGGCCATGAGTGTGTGCGTTATTATTATTATTTATTCTGAACTTATCACGAGAGAAACCCTATTAAGCGATAACAATAATAACTTTTACAGTGCTCTATATTTTTAGTCCCTTACAAAAAAAAAATACGTAAATCATATTTATAATAGAGAAAACCGTAGGTACATACTATGGAAAAACTATTTTTTATTTTTATTTTTTTTTTATGTTAACTAGTAGGCAAACGAGCAGACAAGCCACTTGAGAGGTGGTCATTGTCGCCCATGGACACGAGCAATACCAGTGGCATCACCCATGCGTTGCCGACTCCGGAGAACCTTGTTTACACGTCTTTTGAAGAACTCCATGTTATAGCGCAAGGGGAACACTTCAGGAGGAAGGCCATTCCACATCTTACTGGTTCGGGGAAGGAACGAACGAGATGCTCGAGTGGTCGTGACGTGCCAAGCATCGAGGAAGTGGGGATGGAGTCTTCTCCTTCGGCGGGTCGTGCAGTGGTAAAAGAGTGACGGAGGCACCAACTCAAAGAGTTCGTCTGAGCACTCCCCGTTATACAGACGGTAGAACACACATAGAGAGCCAACATCTCTCCGCAAACTAAGGGGCTCTAAACCGTGAAGAAGAGAGTAGCATGGAGTTGCGGGATTATCCTCTTGCCAATATTCGGGGGACACCCCTATGTTGTGGATATTCCAAGGATTCGCACGAAGCATTTTGCTTCCACATTTATGTGGCAAACGGAATGGAATTCCCTGCCTGCAGACTTATTCCCCGAACGTCATAACTTGAGCCTTTTTAAGGCGAGAGTGAATAGGCATTATTTAGGTGTGCATGGCGCATCATTGACCTCACCGTCAATTTCCATCACGTGAGATGTGGGTCGAATACGCACTTATTTCTTTATATAAAAAAATCTGTTTTTAATAAATCATTGTGAAAATAATCCACCGTCCTCCATCCTCACTTATAGAAAAATTAAATTGTTATTTAATGTTTCCCTATGAAACAACGAAAATAAAATCGTTTTTAGAAATACCTCAGTGAGTACTTTCCAGAAAACTTTGTAGAGCGCCATTTAGCACGTACAGTTAAAATACTAATTATGACAAATGACCAATTCCAATCGTGTTTTCGGTGGGCGTTCATTAATAACTCAAAGGGACAGTACTTGCATTCATTATCAATTCACCTTGTTAGTAGTATTGCGCAAATAGCAAATGCGACGTATAATTACAAAAACACGATTTTTTCGGGATATTCCGCTTAAACAATAAAATCTTTCTTACACCGTTTTTCTGTTTCTTAAATTCGTGCGAACTATTTAAACGTCTCGAAAAAAAGTCACGTTACTTAACCAAATTAATATTAAGCAAAATAATAACGCTTAATTAATCATTTCATCTTAAATTTTCTTCAACCCTTTTTATCGACAAATAAAAGAATTAATACCCCATACCTGTGCCATGACGTCAGGTCTTGAAGATAATATATACGCATGCGCGGGAAAGTGGCCATTTTGAAAATGTTCGTGCATCCCCGCATATTTTCGGCGGGTTATGACGAACACAATTTCCTTCTGAGTAAAAATGTTGCAAGTGGGTAAAAAGGAAACTAAAATATTTTTCCAACAAATTCATGGTCCCCGCGCCGCAACTCCGCATCTCACCTTTATTACGAATCTAGGAATAATTTGTCTTTATTTTGTTCTCATGCAAAATTTACAAAGCAGGTGTAGCAGAAAATAGATTGAAAGTAATTGGGCAGATTTTGCGTCACTATTTTCTTTACCCTTGAAAGCGTATGATCAAAAGAAAATTTATTTTGGCATTTGCTTTTATATAGCTGTGGGTTTATTATGTTACGCATTTACTAAGGATTTTTTAAGTAACAAATAAGGTAAATAACTGACACATAAGTAAATAGTAGAGCTCCTTGTGAAAAAGTTCGTCCAGGGAAGTACTGCTACCTCACCTATTCCTGCCGCGTTATGTGAGCATTACTGCATTTCGGTTTTGAAGGGTTAGGGTGAAATTACATGGGACTAGTATGTTTAGTAATTTATGTCTCGGGGTGACGGGCGCAGTGGCATTTGGGATTTATGTAGACGCACGACTTGTTCATCCTCTCGTTTTAGTGTTTGGTATGATTTTGCATAAAATACTTTGGCATAATATAATAATAATCCATTTATTTCTGATGCATCCATCCATGATATTTGTTAGTAAGGAAAAATATTTACGCTAGCGGTTTCAAATAATAATAAAACAATTATATATAGGTATTAAGATGGGAGCATAACGTAGCCAATGTGCAAGCGCATCCACCGCCCCAGCATTGGGCGGACTCCCATCTTTCCATCAATATAGTAGAGATGCACTACACTTTCGCATGACAGCGTAGAAATCATCTACTTGTTTCTCAGCAAACATGGTTGACGCGCTACAGAAACCTGGAAGGCGGAACAGCATGCTGAACGCATTGTTGTGCTGGATGCGCAGTGGTCCGTATGTCCGCCGCGTGTAACTGACCCCAGGGCTGCACATGTAAAAAGACTGACAATATATTTATATTTACTTCATCTGTACATCGTGCAAACCTGCGAGCCAATATATTGCAACGGACAGCCAGCGCACGCTCCCTTTCCACGTCGGCATTATCACATAGGTCCTCGGTAACCCAGTGACCCATAAACTTAAATAATAATAATAATAATATAATAATAAATATCTTTATTTATCTCCACAACACAATACAAAGAAACGTTACAATTACAGTAAATATACATTATTACGTAAGCTTAGAGTAATGTATTGTGGGAGACTGGAGCCCAAACTAAGCAGAGCTTGTAATATGGGTCTCCAGGCACCCAACCCCTAGGATAGTCATGTTAGTAGTAATGATGAGATACAAAAGTACTGAGGTGGAAGTAAAAAATAAGTAAAACAAATTATGTGTGCGCGCGTGAGCGCGTGAGTGAGTGAGTGAGTGAGTGTGTCTGAGTGCGTGAGTGAGTGTGTGTCTGAGTGTGTGAGTGATTGTGTGTCTGTGTGTGTTCGTGTGTGTTTGTGAGTGTGGAATTGTGAGGTTATTTGACGACTTTTAGTAGATTTTCAGTCTCATCATAGTTAAGGAGCAAGAGATATCTGGTCAATTTTAGTTTGCATTCGTATTTAGAGAGTTCACAAAAAGGGGATAATTTATTTAATTTATTATATAAGAAAGGGCCTAGGAATTGAAAGAAACGCTGAGCAGTTGTTGTCGAAACTAATTTTGAAGGACATATATTTATGCGTCGCGAAGCCAGAAGGGATGGAGTGAAAGATGTCTGAGAGTGTTGTTTCAAAACAGTAAACAAAATAAAGAGCTGCCTGACTGTAAGAACTTTGAATGATTTGTATAGATCAGCAGTCGGGTACCGAAACGGCAGACGTGAACTTACCTTCAGAATTGCCCTCTGGGCTCG